CAAACAATGAAATTAAACCATTTCTCATTAAATTTAGCACCAAGTCAATTGCATGATGTTATTTTGATATCAAGCCAGCCACATAAAAAAAAATACCAAAACAAGCTATTAACCTTCAATTTTAATCAACACAATATTTAAAAATTTGATGGAAAAAAAAACAAAATAATGAATTATTATTTTATTTTATTTTTGGTTAATCAGACATTAACAAACCAAAATATGGAGTTAGAGACGGCGTCCCCAATGCCTTCATGAACTCAATTAACTATATATATATATATATATATATATATATATATTAAACACAACTAACCCAACAAAAATATGGAGGGAGACATCGGTATCATATGGTCTCTATCCAAACAAATAGACACCGTCAACATCAAGCAATTCAAGCTGGCTCAAGGCATCCAGTGGCCATCTCGATATTTTCTTCGAACTCCAACGCCAAATCCAAATCCCATCACCGCCTTACTTTCTACGGAACTCTATCCGCTTCTATTCCGCGTAATATTTAATTTAACCGGCTATCCCGGTCAACACACCGCGTTCCTCTTCCTCCGCCTTTTATCTCCTTCCCCGAATCCCCCCCACCCCCTCTCCGAGCTAAATGGCTTGACAGAACCCAAATTCTCTCAGAAATTGAAAAATGTCTTCCCGTTATACCCCTCATACTTCATCTTATTTCCCAATCTCCACCTCTGTCTCTCAAAGAAAAACCCTAATTGGCGCCAACCACACCTCCGCTCGCTTCTGCTCTCGTTAGAAAAAAGAGAAAATCACTCACTCCTCTAAAGATTCTTTTTTCCTTAAATATTTGTTTTGTAATTGTATATTAATAGTCATGGAGCCAACTGCAGGGAAACCGAACTTCTTGAGCAACATTCTTGTGAAGGTTTTATTATTCGGTGTTTTAATCATTATCGTTCGATTCGGTTACATTGTTACCATCACTGGCGAATCATGCAATCTCGGTGGATTCTGTTTCTTACCGGAGGATTTCAATTTCGTCATCACCGGCACCGGAACCGGTTTCTCCACGGCGAACAGAGCAGTTGAATCCATCCCAGCGGGTCCCTCACGGCCATATCTCTACGCGAGTGAAGACTGGATCAAGGCCGTTCATTTCTACTCCGATATCTTTCATGATCTGGTATCCGAAGGTTATCTTTCGGCTATTTCCAAGACTTTGTGTGTAGAAACGCCGAACGGAGAGGATGTTTTCGCTTTGAAAGAAATCGGCATTTTGGACTCGATTGGGATTTACAAAAAAGCATCGAAGCCGTTAGTGATTTCGTCGAAGGAGAATGGATGGCCGTTCGATGAGAATTCTTTTGACTTTATTTTCTCCGGCGGGGACCGGTTGGATAAGGCTTCACAGAGGCCGTTGGATTTAACGGTGTCAGAGATCCAGCGAGCATTAAAACCGGACGGGTTTTTTGTGGCTCACGTGAGTGCTAAAGATAGCTATAGTCTCAATTCGTTTCTTGATTTGTTCAATTCTTGCAAATTAATCAAGTCACATGACATTGAAGGTTATAATTCGTCAGTACCTTTTATTAGAGAAATTGTTTTGCAAAAGAAAGGAGGAAGTGAAATTCTTAGCAAAGATTCTGATGGCAATTTGGAGAATACGTGCTCTGTTCCGGGGTATAAAAGGGATTTGGTGCGCAATGCCGAGTCTCTGATAAAGGAAGAGCCATTGAAGCCGTGGATTACATTGAAAAGGAATATAAAGAATATTAAGTATCTCCCGGCCATGGTGGATATTAGTTTTAAGAGTAGGTATGTGTATGTTGATGTTGGAGCTAGGAGTTATGGGTCTAGTATAGGGAGTTGGTTTAAGAAGCAATATCCTAAACAGAATAGGACGTTTGATGTGTATGCGATTGAGGCAGATAAGGCGTTCTATGATGAATATAGAGTAAAAAAAGGGGTCAAATTGTTGCCATATGCTGCATGGGTGAGGAATGAGACGTTGAGGTTTGAGATTAATCATGATCCGGGCAAGAAAGTAAAGGATAAGGCACGAGGGATGGGGAGAATTCAGCCAGTGAAATCTGGTTCATCATCGGGAGGTTTTAATGGGGAGGTGAATGAGATTGAAGGGTTTGATTTTGCTGAGTGGTTGAAGAGCACGGTTACGGAGAAGGATTTTGTGGTGATGAAGATGGATGTTGAAGGGACCGAGTTTGATTTGATACCGAGGTTGTTTGAAACTGGAGCCATTTGTTTGATTGATGAAATCTTTCTTGAATGTCATTATAATAGGTGGCAAAGATGTTGTCCTGGACAGAGGAGCTCCAAGTATGAGAAAACATATGGGCAGTGCTTGGATCTGTTTACTTCTCTTAGAGACAGGGGAGTTCTAGTTCATCAGTGGTGGTGATTGCCTGATTGGTGACCATCCTGCTCATCTCTCTCTCTCTCTTTTTCTTTCTTTCTTTTTTTTTTCTTTTCAGAAAAGGGAAATAAAATCATAGTGCAAACGCCTTAGGATTTAATCTTTTTTTGTTTTTTTAGTGTTTCCTTCGTTGCAAGTTTCTTTTCTTGTAAGAATTGCAGATGCAAATGAAAGTCTCATTACTTTATATTCTCTCCATTTGTTAGATTTCAATGTATGAATCACTATCCAGTCTATTGAAGTGATTTTAGTTACAATTTATAACGAGATTTCAATCTCTGTCTACCATTGAGATACAATTTGTTCAAAATTCAGTATTGTTGCTGACTGATTTTGGTTTTGTGTCGTTGAGACCTCTCCATGCATTAATTAAGATGGCAAGCTTTAGATATGAGAATCCTCAACAATGTGTTTCTTTAGTTTTATTATATGCTCACTAACAAATCCAAGCTTGTTTCTCAACTGCATAAAAAAGTAAATTGGCACAATCTTTGAGTTTGCATGCCCCCCTCTTCAAGCATCCAAAACCATGGTCCAGTGGTGGTTTGGGGGCATGCTTGCATCAGTAGCCTTTGAGCACTGTGATAAAGATTTATCCCCTTCAGCAACAGTAAGCCCTTTGTGATTAGAGGAATATTACATGCGTATAAGCAGAATCACACACACACACACACACACACATATATATATATAAACTCAAGTTTTCTGTGCTGATATAATTTAGTTGCAGGGGGGCTATGAGTAAAGACAATATATACGTTGATCAAACAACGTAACAGAACCTAAATTAACACTCGACGTTAACTACTCCGAAACATCCTTCAACATGCAAAATTGAAAAGATTAAGGGGAAAAAACAGGCATACTCGCGGCAGACTATCTTGTATACGACACAGTTCCGGTCTAGCTCAATCAGTTTTGGTTCAATATTATTGATAATGATGCATGCCCCTTTACCTCCTCCTCTTAGGCGCCTCAGCACCGAACGAAGTGGAGATTACCACACAAGGCATAGGCTGGTGTATAGCCATAATATTAAGTTCACTATAAATTGTGTTTAGCTAGGCTGTTCACATATTTAGTGAGGAATATCTCTCTTTTTACACCTACGTACATGTATTTAGAGAAATCCCTAATATGTATGTATTGAGGACAAAACTCATAGTATTTTTACAAATGAAATTAATCAAATATAAATATATTATATTAAAAAAAAAAAAAAAGTAGTAACGAGACCTCCCATGTGATTGAGGCCACTCTTATTGGAAACAATAAATTCCATTATTTACAATTAAAATTCTCACCACAATTAACATTCTCTTTTTCTAACTTGTGTAGTATACCCTCCTGTAATACGGGTACCCTACTAGTTATGATAGATTATTAATTCATCCACGCAGCCAAATAGTTTTCTTTTTCTTTTTCTTACAAACATGCATGTAGCTGAAGATTAATCCTCCCAAAGTAAGCATTTATATAAACATACTTATTATTTCATAAATTTATTTATTTTTTGTTATAAATCTAATGTAAAACATCATTTTTTTTATAATCACAACTTTTTCATGATAATTTTTAATTTAAATGACAAAAAATAATAATTTATAATTAAATTCTCATGTATAAATATAAAAATGGCTATTATAAATTATTATTTTAATTTTGTTTGAAAAATAGTCGTAATCTTGATGTATTTTATATTTTATTTGGAGAAAAAAATTCTTTTTTTCTTGAAATAATCATGTTTTTTAATTTTTATTTAAAAAAAGCTAGAAAGAAGAAGAAAATCAAGATGAAAAAAAAAGTATTTTCTTTTTTTGTTTTTGTATTTGTATTTGTTACTAAACATACATGAAGCATCTACATCTCATTTTAATTGTAACATCAGCGAAAAAAGCTCTCTTGCCTCTCTTTTTTTTCCCTAGAAAAAGACCTCTCTTGACTGGCTTTACATGTCTTGAAAGGATTTGGAAAAATAACGAAAAGAATTTTATTAAAAAAAAATAAATATTAAAACATACCGCTTTAGATTTTTGTAGTTTAAACTTTTTAATATTAGTCTTGTAGTTTTCAAAAGCTTAAATTCACCTCAACATGTTTATAACTTTTTAATTGAATTCAATTTAGAGATTTTAATAAACTTTTATATTTAGAATCCTTTTAAATGTTAAGAATTGAATTTTAAATTAAATTTAATCTCTAAAAATATTACAAAAATAAATCAGAGATCACCTCTTTTGATTTATAATTTTAAATAGAAAATATTTAATATTAAAACTAGCTTTTTTAAAATGCATATCTAACCCTTTTATTTTTAAATATATTTTAATAAATAAATAAATAAAATTTAAATTAAACACTATAATTAAATTTAATTATAATAAAGTAGAGAATTAGCTATAAACAATATGCGAGTCATCAACTTCCGCCACTTATTTAACAATCAAGAGACATGCACGGTAACATTTAATTTTGAAACTTATTGGATCAAAAGTGGAAAACTTAAGACTATAGAAACCAGAGTGAAATATCACTAAATCTATAAGGGCTAAAACAGGTTACCTAAACGGATACAAACGAGGAACCTGCCGTGTTCTAATGTCCTATGATTGGCTCTGGCATGTTTAGTTTCTGTTTTTTTTTCTTATCCAAATAAAATGTTGTGTTGTATATGAAAACCATCCTAGTTTTTCTCCTTTGCCCCTTCTTAATCTCAGCCTCCGGGGTCCATGGAAAATCTCATTTTCCTTCGTTTTCCTTGTTGTTTTTGAAGAAAAATGTTTGGTTGTTGATGGGATCTTGGTGGGTCCGCTTTGATTTTTTTTGCGACATTTCTAGTTGCTTATAGAATGGGAGCTTGTTGCAGTAGGGAACCATATGGTAATGGGGTGGATGTAGAGGATGCTGTTGCAGACAGAGAACAAGAGGATGATGAGGAAGGTGATGCAACTATTGGAGATTACGGGGCCCGTGTGAGGTTATATGGAGCTTCAAAATATCCATCAATGTACACCCAACAAGGAAGAAAAGTGACCAATCAAGATGCTATGACTGTTTGGGAGGTAATAAAAAAAATGATATGCACGCCATTCATTGCTTCTTCTTCTTCTTCTTCAACTTGGAGTTTTATTTCTCATATGATCCATCCATGATCAATATGTTTTGATAGTTACCACATTTCTTGCTTTGGTTTATTTTTATTTTTTTTATTACAGTCTTAATTAATTTCTGATCAATTGAGGTATGTTATTTTATGGATCAAACTTTTGTTTTCTCATGTAGAAAGATGACATTATTTTTTTCATGAAGATGAAATTCAAAATTTTTGCTGTGATATTGAATTTGTTATAACATCTCATTGCCTTATGCATTATCGTTCTTTTTTCTTGTTGCCTTGCCCATGTTTTCAATGTTTTATTTGGATGTTAGTTACTTTGACAATAAGATTTTAGGTTTCCAGAGGAAGTTGCATTTCTCATGCATTTTGTCGTTTTTTTGCCATGTATTTGTTGGTTACGATCTGGTATTTTTATCATCAACCTGCAGAGCACAAGAGATGAAAGAAACGTTGAAAAAGTTGATTATTTACTGCATTTATTGCTAGCCAGTTGGTCAATGGAGATCTGAAATGCATTGTTCTGACTTGAAGAGAATTTCGTGAAAAATATATAGGTTTATAATTAGCATTGCAGGGCTAAGAACAAAAGAATTTGATTTCAGTAAGCTAATTTGGGGCTTAAACTAGGAAAGACACACCTCGCCTCTTCATTTATGCTCAATTAGATGCAATTTATTTGCTCTATATTACTCCAAGCATCGCTCATTTTGAATGCTAGTAAATAATTAATCTCATGTATTCAACTAAACTTTGAAGCTTGATCCAGGAATTTACTGGTGATAAGGATATGCTTTTCTGTGGAGTTTTTGATGGTCATGGCCCCTATGGTCACAAAGTTGCGCGCCATGTACGTGATACTTTACCATCGAGGCTCTCTAGTGCAATCAAAGCATCACAGAATAATAGCTTCAAACGTAGAGATAACAAAGGAAAAGGAGAGAATAGCAACGAGGTCAATAAAAATCAAAGTGACGAAGATAGTGGCGACTATGATGATAGCAGTAGTCTGCTTTTATCTTCGTGGGAAACAAGCTTCATGAAATCTTTCAAGGAAATGGATGAAGAACTTAGCCTTGATGCCAGCATTGATAGCTTTTGCAGTGGAACTACTGCTGTGTCTGTAATTAAGGAGGTATAAGTTCACTCTTAAGTAAATTTGTTGTCAATGGATGGAGATTTTTTTTTGTTTCTGAGTCCTTGTTTTTTAATTTTCAGGGAAACAACTTGATAATTGCCAATTTGGGCGATTCTCGTGCTATTCTTTGTTCTAGGGGCCCCAAAAATCAACTTGTTCCCGTCCAACTCACTGTTGATCTAAAACCAAATATTACAAGTGGGTGTTTTCTCATTACCTTTCAATGCGTGACAAGGGTTGCGAATCAAATTAACCTTCTTTGGATTCTTACGGTAACTCAGGTGAAGCTGAAAGAATCAAGAATTCCAATGGCAGAGTTCTTGCATTGGATCAAGAACCAGAAGTTTTCAGAGTATGGATGCCTGATGAAGATTGTCCTGGTCTCGCCATGGCAAGGGCTTTTGGAGATTTCTGCCTGAAAGATTACGGCCTCATTTCAACTCCTGAGGTTTCTTATAGAAGGCTAACCGATAAGGATGAATTTGTGGTTCTAGCAACTGATGGGGTAAGAGGAATGAAAAACCAAAATCTCTGATAAATTAAATTATTGATTAACTAGCTGCTGTTCACCATTGAAGTTCTTGAAACTGAAGATAATTGAATTCACTGGAGAAGTCGTGAATTGACAGGAAATGCAATAATCAGTCTAGTATGAAGCAAAACAAACACTAGTCGTTTGGTCAGAATAGAAGGGGAGAAAGCCTGTACAGTTATTTTTTGCCGAGGGTGACATAAGCCCTGTACCATATAGCTTATTGATTGCTTTTTCACTACATTCGATTCACCTTGTAGAATTTGATGATTTTTTTTTTATTTACAGGTATGGGATGTGTTGACAAACTATGAGGTCGTAAAGATTGTTGCTTATGCAAGGAAGCGATCCATGGCTGCTAAATTGGTAGTGAAGTATGCTGTTCGTGCATGGAAAATTAAATATCCCGGATGCAAGGTCGATGACTGTGCAGTTATATGCTTGTTTCTGAAGAATCGAACCTTGTTAACCAGATCCTTTTCTGAACTGACCCAAGTCAGTGTGAATCACTCAGAGCTTGAAGCCTGCTCTGATGTGAGCCTGGCCAAGCTTGAAAACTACTCTGAAGTGAGCCGGGCCAGTCTCAATCACTCAGAGATTGCAGCCGTTCCAAGAAAGTTTAGATCCAAGACAAGAGGGGAAATCTCCGAAAATGCCAAGACTTATCTAAACTCGGACGAGAATGACTGTCCTCCTGCCAGATTAGACAAAGTAAATTCATCAGGTAAGTTCCCTCGATTGCGCCATGTTTTGAGTCGGCGAAAATTAACAAAAGATTATGAAGCTGTTGAAGCTTGGTGACAATCTTCTTCTGTGTCTTAAACCTAACAATGAGGTTATGCCGAAGTGGCCTGCACTTCTGGGAATACTTATGCCTCGTTTGTAAAAACATAGAAAGCTAAGAACCATGCTGGGTTTCTCCCCGTTTTGCTTGAAATTATCCCTCAATTCAATTTTAACTGGAAATACTAATAGATAAATGGTCATTCGTAGCACTCTTCACTATTTGTGGCAGATGATTGAAGACTCTACTGGTAAAATTAGTGATAGTCGCTGTTTGTTTTTCCTTGTTTTTTTTTTCTTAAAGCATGGTTATCAAATTTGATATGAGAGTTGACCCTGTATAAGACTTGTGTAATGCTCTAAAATTTTCTTATGAATTTCACTTTCTTTATTATTGTATAAGTGAAAAATGGAAGAATTATGTGTGTATATATATATATATGCAGACACACTTTTATCTTTCGGGTTTCAACCCGTGTAGAGAGCCTTTCTAGAGACATCATTTATAAAATTGTATTACTAATGTGGTGGAAACAGCACACACACAAAAAAGGACAAAGCACTTTTTTGAACAAAAAAGAAAAAAGAAAAAGAGAAAAGCACCAGCCAATTCTTTTACCTTTTGTTTTTGAAACTTTTTAAAAGGAAAAATCAACAGCTTTTCAAAACCACTTTGTTTTGTTTGGAAAACTTCGGTTGTTGGTTTTGAAATTATAAAATAGAAAGAAACAAGTTTTCTATATGTTTTTAAGTTCGACTTTCAAAATCAAATTGAGCACATAGCCCTCAAGAGAAAAATCCCATAAAAAGCTTGTTCAAGTGTTTCTATTTTCAATAGGTAAAGAGTAGATCATTAGTGTACACTATGCTATGAATTAGATTAAATTTTTTTATAATTTTTTTTTAGGAATTTCTAATGTTTTTTAATAAAAAAAACTTAAATCATATAGATATTAACTCAATATTATCCACTAGACTTGACAGGTTAAAAACAACTTGAATAACTAATAATTATATAGTTTGACTCAAAATATATATTTAAGACCATAATTTTTATATAAATATTAAGAGAACAATATATTTGATTGATTTAGATTAATCCGGATCAACCTGTCAATTTGCATGTCAGGTTATGAGATCATGATAACCTAGAAAATAAATCAAAATAAATTATGAAATATGATTTTTAATAAAACTCAATGTTGAATGATAAAATTAAAAAAAAATAATTAAGAAAAATAAAAAACTCCTCGAGTTAACTCGTAACTCGAGTCATGAGTTGAGGATAATCTTATAAAAAAACATAAATAAAAATGAAGTTCAATTCTCAATCAATCCGATATTAAAATATAATATTGAAGAAAAAAGTCAATCGAGAAAAGAAAAGAAAAACTCGAGTGAATTTAATAATTTGTCATACCCGCAATTCAAGTTAAGAGACTATAATAATTTTACGAAATAGTAAATTAAAAATAATTATGAAATTCAATAAATCTAATGTTGAATAATAAAAATAAAATTATAAAAATAATTATAAAAAAATAATTCAAGTCAAACCTAAATTACTCACTAAACTCGTGACTGTAATAAATTATAAAACTTAATTATTAATTAATTTAGTTTTGAAAGATGAATTTAAAAATAAAAACTAATTAAAAAATAAAAAAAACTCAAGTTAACCTGTCAAACTTAAAATTTACATTATAAGATTGAAATAATTTTATAAAAAATAAATTAAAAAAAATTAAAATTTAATTTTTAATAAATTTAATATTGAAGAATGATAACATAAAATAAAAATAAAAATTAAAAAAAATATTTTAATAAATAATATTTTTCTAGAAGAGTTCTTTTCAAAACTTTTTTTTTTTTTTTTTTTTAATGCTATCTGAAACCTGTGCCAAGGACAGTTAATAAGGCCCAGCTTTGAAGCTTAGAAAATGCATTAGGCAGATGGTTTCCTTCAAAATTCAAACGACGTGGGAGGATAATTCATATTTGCTCAAGCGGCAAAGGAAATTTTCCGATGTTCTATACTTGAGATAGTATTGCCATTGTGTGTATTTCGGTAATTAAATTAAACTTCCCCCACACGTGTGTGCGCATGTATAAAAATATTTTCGACATATACCCATAAACTTCAATGATTAACCTGAATAGATTATTTAAAAAAAAAATTAAATGAAAAACATTTTAATCATTGGGGGTGCCTTCTTCGCTGATCATCACTTTGCAAAATTCAGGAACCAAACCAAGACCTGCCCTAAGCAGACAAATTTAGTACATGTAAATCACAAGCTTCGGACAGGATTGGGCCCCACTCCAACTGCAAAAGAAGACGCCCTGAGATGTAAGCCCCGTTCTGCTGGCCCACAGTGTTGTGGACTTGAGCGAATAAACTACAAGCAACTGGCCAGTTACCTGGGCAACGAACCATTTAGGCTCCACACCCTGTCTCAGCCATCGGCACCAGGCAGGCGGATTCGTTGTACCGAGCAGTCCTGTTTCCAGGACCGCATTTCTGCGGAGTAGGGCCCGGGGAATTTTCTGGGTCATTTATTGATCCGCTCGCTCCAGCTCATGGCAAGGAGGAATATATGTTATGAACGAGGGTGATATAGGTTAAAGTTATATTTTTCCAGTCGATGTGGGACTTTTTTGCGTAGGATCCAAGGAACGTCGGATCTTTTCTTTTTCCTCCTCCTTTTTTCATAGGATGTGATTTTTTTTTCTAAGACGGGTTTGCCTTTAATTGAATTCTTGGAAAAGCAAGACTGAGGATTCACATATTTGAGTTTTTCTTTTCATCGTCTTTCGGTCACCTTTAATTGATTTCGATTATTTATATTTAATTTAATAGACTTTTGTTGAGGAATCTTATAGTTATGGATCCCAAACACTTGAAAATTTTACTTATGCCAACCCATTTTGTTACCATCTGAAGAAATATCAAATATGATTTGTTTATCACCAAGAACACGACTTCATTTATTACTTTACCCTCCCGGAAACTATCCCAAATAAGAACTATAATGTTGAAATTCTTAGTTCCTTCAAGTTCAAGGGTTGGCCATTTATGAGTTTTCTTAGAGTTAGTTTCCTTATTGTTTGTTTTGTTATTTTTTAAATTTAATTATTATATAAAACTAATATTGTATTTGTATCTTCTCTAGTGTTACCTAGCTATTTATCCACCCTATTCTATAGGCTTGTAGTACATATTTTTTATGACAAAAAATTGAACACTAACACGTACATACATCTATTTACTTTTTTTACTTGAAATGTTTACGCACACTTTTAATTAAATAAATTAAAAATTATTTATATCAATAAATTAAAAAAATTATTAAAGATAACTAAATGCATATATATAAAAAAAAAAGTTAAAAAGTGAATGTACATTAAGATATTTAACGTCGCAATATAAAATATTTATTCAATTTATTAAAATTAACTTTTACTTAATTAAATGATAGTAGAAATAGACATGCATATAAAATTGATTAAATAAAATCACTATTTTTTTTTATCTTTGCATTTACTAGAAATACTATTCAAAAATAAATATTTTTTTACTTTTTAAAAAAGCTCAATTATATAAAACATAAAAGTAATTATAGAAGAATTAGATTAATATCTTAAAAAAAATAAATACATACAAAATAATTTTAAAACAACCACTACTTAAAAAACACTAAATACAAAAACAAAATTGAGAAAAAAGGTATTAATTTAAATATAAATTTTTAAAAATATTTAAAAAATATTTATATATAAAAAAAAGAGGTTGTTTGGTAAACAAGGACAACGCCTGTCCCATTTAGAAAGGGCTTGCATGAGGGCTCTATTTTTTAAAAAAATACAATTGTGATGGATGATATGTTATCAGTCTTAATATTTTTTAAAAACAAATGAATTTTAGAAGACATGTTGTATGTTTTTCCCTAGATTTCAACATTTGTTATTGTAGCTGGAAAAATAAGGTTTATATTTTTGTTACCTAAAACTCATTTCCATCTCATTTGTAATCTAAAACATCAAGAAAAAAGCCTACACACCTTGACAAATCTATAAACAACATTAACAAAACACGCAAAAATCCAAAACTAATCTAGAACAAAAAATCTATATAAGTTTAAATATATTGTTTTAGATAATTTTAAGGTGAGAAAACACATATAAGTGAAACTTTTCTTATCAAATGAGATCTTATGACATCAAAATTGATTATTTTAATTATTAAAATTGACGTCAACGTTGATTTTATCTCTTTATCGTTGAAATTCACCGATCTCTCTCCTTTCTCAAACAATTTTTTTGACCTTTTTATCATTATATATTTTTTTTAATTTTATTTTTTAATATTTTATTCGATAGAAAATAAGCTTTGAATTGTTTTTCATTTTGCTATAGGGTTATTGAGTTCTATTTTATTTCTTCTTTGTTATCAAATAAGATTCTTCAGTATTTAATTTTTTAAAATTATTTTAATTTTATTTTTCAACATTTGAATGACTAGGAATTGGTGTTTCTGTCTTTTTTTTTAATAGAATTACCTCAATTTGTTATTCATGATCACGAGATTAGTGGATTAACTTAGTTTAACTTGAGTTTTTTTGTTGCGGTTTAAAATATATTTTTTAATTTCTCATTTCAACATTAAATTATTTTTATAATTAATTTTTATATTTTTATTTAATTTATTTTTAATAGAATTACCCTCATGTTACAACCAAGTCGTATATTTGACTTGCTTACCTGAATGGACTTAAATTGATTTTTTTATATATTTTTTCATTGTCATTTTTTTTGGTTTATTTGATTTAGTTGCTTTTTTTTATTCATTTTATTAACTTAATAAATTTATTAAATCAAGTTAAGTTTTATTTGTATTTTTAGAAATATTTTAATTTTTTTATAAAAAAAAAACCCCTTAACTATAACCCAGCGAGGAACGCCTGTCTACCACTTTCCTGTACATCCTTTGCATTCCAGCTCAAGATAAGGAAGCGTGACAGGGGCAAGTGCGACTTTTTTCGAATTTTGCAACTCATCCTCGATTATACAAGTAGAGTTAAAGCGTCATTTTTTAAGCCGGTAGTATAGATTTCCCAGACCCAGATACGTTGGTGACTGAACCTTTGTCACACACATATACTCACTCAATCACAGAGAAGTAAGAAAGAGAGATATAAAGATCGAAATTAGATAAGATGCCTTGCCTTTATATCTCCACCAACGTCAACCTTGATGATGTTGATAAGGATCCTATCTTCTCCGAGGCAACAAAAGCTGTTGCTACCATCATCGGCAGACCTGAACACGTAAAATTTCTCTGTCCCTTCAACTCCTTACATTCATTTCTTTTGCCTGTAGCCTTATATATATATATATATACTAGGGAGTTGTTCAGGTTTAAATTCTGTGGCCTACAAATGCATGTCTCACATATATAGAAATTAAGGGATTAGATCTTTCATTTTGTATGTTGATGTTCTTTAATGGTAATCCTTAGGGAAGATTAGATGTGGAAGAAGGATCGGTTGCACATTATAAATGTTAGTATTTTAAGCAGGCCATGCTCTGAGCTCTGGTGAGTAGAATAAGTTGTCAGCTTGCAACAAGGATCATGTTCCCCTATTCATTCTTCAATGCATTTGACCTAACTTGCTGTGGTTGTTTATGATGATTTCAGTTTTCATTTCCAAGTTTTGGGACAATATTTTGAAGTTACAATCCAGATTCTTTTAGAGTAATGCTAACGAGTCATGACCATTTTATTAGCTTTGATTTCCCTTCATTTTTCCTAGCTGAAGGGGTTATCTACTATATGAGATGCTCCAAACCAGCTTTTTCTTCCCCCTTTTTTAAAGGCAACGCTAGAATCTAGTTGGTCCCTCTACGATTACAAATGTGGTCAAACCAAGCATATGTTTGTTCAAATCTACTTCCCTTCCTTCAGTTGAAGGTAATTTTAGCCATTTTATCCAACTCGGTTGCCAACTGAGTGCCAAATGCTATGAAGGGCTTGGATGATGAACCTTGAATCGACTTTTATATGAAGCGCAGGGGTTCATCTGATCAAATTTAAAATAGAGTGTTTGATTAAATATGAAGTAAAGAAACTGCACATGATTTCTAGCCATTGAGAAGGAGGGATACATAGTCAATTCATTTTTACACAAACCCAAACGCATTCCCAGGATGACGATGAACAAGAACCCAGTTGGGATGCTTGAGAATTGAGAAAACTGTTGCACTGTGAGACAAGTAAACTTGACCTAACCAAGTCCTATCCTCCTTCGACTAATCACAAGTTGTTTCCTAAGCATTATTCATTAATTGTTGTTTTGCATCGTATCATTTGAGTGGACTGGAATGGAAACAACGAGAAAAAGGTATTCTTAGTGGGATAAAGATCACGGATCTTTTTGGTATCAATGGCTGTAGCTATCAATCCCATAGCCACTTGACAGAGAGTTGTGTTAGTGCAAAAACCTGGAAAAGTGGTCCTGTAGAAGGTCCCACAGGCAAATGTGAACGAACGAACGAATGGATTGTCCATTTATCAAAAAAATACAGAAGAGACAAGTGAGAAAGAACTAATGTCTGCCGCCCAGCATCCTCAGTTTCCAAAACTACTATAAGTTCCTCTTCAGTACCGACATTCAAGATTCAACTCTCTTTTTTTTTTTGAATTTATTTAATATTTTTATATAATTTTGATATATTAAAATCAAAAATAAATTTTAAAAAATAAAAAAATATTATTTTAATATATTTTTAAATAAAAAATACTTTAAAAATTTACTTTTAGCATACCGCTCACTATGTTATAACATTATATTCACACCTTGACTTGCATTGATTCATCTGTTTTTTCCAAAATTATACCAAGCAGAAAGTTTGGAATTTGATTTTTAAAATTTATTGGTTTGAATTTTATAAATTTTAAAATTATTAAAAATTTATATAATTATTAATTTTAAAATTCATAAAACTAGTTAAAATACATATAAACTTATCAAAGTATCCATATCAATTAAAAAAAAGAAGCCCTATAGCTGGTGGCCTGGAGCTAACATCAAACTTTCCTTTTTCTTGAGAGTCTAATCTTGAAACATGGAATTGGCTGGAAGTGGAAACAAAGTAATAAAAGGGTTTGCCTAACCGGAGGAAAAGGATCCAATTTATGCTTTGAATAGATAGTGAGAGGGTTTGCTCCAATGCTATCATCGAACTTTTAAGAAAAACTTCGAGGAAGAAATTCCTCGTAAATAGACTATTGATGTGGAGATCCTAATTGGTAAAGTAAAAGTAAGACGGCATCTGTGGAGAATACTTTGAACGATGCAGAAGAGACGACATCTGCGGAGAATACTTTGAACGATGCAGAAGAGACGACAAGAGACCGGCTGATTTGATGAAATCTTATTGCGTGTGTCTAGCATATTCCTCACTTGCAATCAAAGCAAAATCCTGCAAATATTCCTCTCACTTGTTTATTTTCTTTTAATTCTCCATGTACTTATATCTATGCAGCTTGTGATGGTCATTCTGAAAGGACTGGTGGCCATATCATTCAATGGGAACAAAGAACCAGCTGCATATGCAGAGATTGTGTCAATGGGTGGCATTACCAAACAAGTTAAGAGGAATCTAATAGCTACCCTCGGCACAATTCTTGAGGCCAAGTTATCTATCCCCAGGGCACGATTCTTCCTTAAAGTTTGTGATACAACAGCTGCTGGTAACAGCTCCAAGTTGTAGCTTCTGATAGGATGATCAGCGAGTCTCATCCTAACCATATTGATGTTTCATTTTATGCCTGCTTATTTTCAAATTGTTAGAAGACATCCTGTCAGGGAAGCTAAAAAGGGCAAGAAAAGGAAATTAACATGTTGAAGAAGGCCTACATGATCATGATTTCCACTAAATTGAAGCAAATAAAAAAGGAATTTGATTCAGGGTTGTTTGCTGGCTATGTGTTGATGATCTGTGTTTTGCAGAAGAACATATCTAAAGCATGATGTCATTTCCAAACCATAACTGATCCCATCAGGCATCAGTTATGGTGATTGACGATGCTGCATGGCTCAGTCACTGCCACTATATTGCCATAGATTTATCAAAAATCACACAAATATACCTCTTGGGAGCAACATTCTAAAAGTATAGTTGCTGCAACATCTTGAATAAGAAACGGTGCACATTTTACAATGAATTCGGTCCACAACAGAACTAGATGAAGGAAAAAAAAAACAGAGAGAGAAACATGGTTTCATCGGGTCGTTGTAAACTAGTTGATTTGAGCTTATCCTGAACAAAAGAAAGATGAATGCTGCTATCTACATTGAAATCAAGTTTCAGCTTTAGCAACTAAACTTTATTGGTTGCCATATTCGTCACAAATGAGCTAGAAATGCTAACGAATTCATTGCCAGTTCAAGAAATAAACACATGTCAACAGAAACACACACCTCAAATTGAAACCAACCCCGTAGTTTTAAGAAAATAAACAAAAAAGAAGAAGAAAAGAAGAAGTTGCGGGAATTTAATCCAAAACCCAGCAAAAGAGAAACGGCAAATGCTCCTGCTGGGGTCAACAATAAACTCGCTATTTGCTTTCATGGCAAATCTCAGTTTAGTCACCAAACTATGAGCTGATTGTAAATATAATTTCTAAATTATCACGGTTTTCAGTTAGGTCCCCGATTTACCATGTTCTTCCCATCCTCTTGTTTAAAATCTTCCCTTTTTTTTATGTAAATTTTCATTAAAATAGTGTCATTTTATTGCACAATATATTAAATTATCAATTCAGTTTGTCTTTCACCAAAGTATCAATTCAGAGTCATCAAGAACAGAAAGCTTCAATTAATTTTTTTTCCTATCAAGATTGTTACTTAGAAAAACTTAATTATATTTATCTAATAAAATAAAATTTAATCAAGAACCAGAACATATTGTTAGCTTTGTAAAAAGAAATTATGTTTAATGTACTAACTATTGATTGCATGATTATAAATTATTGTTCTTTCTTAATAATTGCGTCAAATCCAACATAATATTTACAAAATAGATGGAAAAATTAACCCAAAATGCTAGATGGACTCCATTCTTATAAAAATTTAGGAACCTAATAGAGAATCCAAGGCGTGGCTGCGAATCTATCTGAGAACTGGTAGATAGTTAGGGGACTAACATGAGGTTTGCCCTTGCTTTTAAGATAAAAGCAAAAGAAAAGAAATCCATGAGTAAATGGGTCCTGGGCCTCCTGGCCCAAAACGTAATTCTTTATCCTTTTGTTTTTTAATTATTTTCTGAAGAAAGAGTCCGATTGACTTTGAAAGGCTTCGGATCCTAATCCGAATGAAAAAATGCCTTGAAATTCAGTTGTCTAGGTTTCCCTAGTCAGTCGTTTCCTCTCCAGAAGATAAATTTATTTTTTGATTCTCCTTCTGAAACTGAGAATGAGCACGTTTACCAACGGAGACTACGACGACAACGACTTCGACGACGAGGACCTTCTATCCCTCCTTTCAGAACAGCGGCGAGAACTAATGGCTGCCCAATCCCTAGAAACCGACCTGGACTTTGCCTTCCGACTTCAACTCCAAGAAGCCATAAACGCCTCCATACCTGTCCTCCCTTCCACGTCCGCCTCCACATCCGCCTCCACCTCTACCTCAACTGCGTCGCCTCCGATTGGCAAAGTCGAAATTACTGCACCTCTATCCACTCTAGAATTTGAAGAAATCTCAAAATTAGAGCAAAAGCTAGAAGATCGCAGACAATCAGAACTCGAATCGCGCAGGATCAGAAAAGATCTCGACCGTCGAATCCATGACCAGAAAGTAGCTCGAGAGATTCTGGAAATACCAGAGGAAGAGTGGCTAGACTGGGGAGATGATTTCGTAAAAGAAGAAGACGAAGAAGATTCTGAATCAGTAGTATTCAAGCTGTATTTCAAGGGTTTGGTTAGTGAAGAAAAAGGGAATAAAGTTCTTGGTGGAATTGGAATTGCGATTTGTGACCCGGTGAATAATTTGGTTTTTGAAATAAGCAAGCCACTGATTGGGAATGGAAGGAGCAAGAATGCGGCCGAAGCTAAGGCTTTGATCGAAGGCCTTAATGCTGCTCTTGCTTTGGACCTGAAGAGAATTGCTGTGTATTGCCATTGTTTTCCGCTTTATAATTTTATTACTGGGAGATGGTTTGCGAAGCAGAGGAAGGTTGCTGTGTTAATCAATCAGTTAGCTCTTCTTCGAAGGAAGTTTGTCTATTGTAACCCTGTTCTTGTGCCACGGAATGATATTGAATATGCGTTTAGATTTGCTAGAGAGGCTATAATTTCGCAGATCACGATGCAGCCAGCAGAATCCACCCACGAGAGGGTTGCCATTATTGAGGCTTGTGTTATTTGTCTTGAAGATACTGATGTTGAACATATCTTTTCGGTTGATGAATGCCAGCATAGGTACTGTTTTTCTTGTATGAAACAGCATGTGGAGGTTAAATTGCTCCATGGAATGATGCCGAAATGCCCTCACGAAGGATGTGAGTCCTTGCTTAATGTTGAAAGTTGTAGGAAATTCTTGACACCTAAATTAATTGAGATGATGTGCCTCCGTATAAAGGAAGCTTCGATCCCAGTTTCGGAGAAAATCTACTGCCCGTATCCTAAATGCTCTGCATTGATGTCGAAAACTGAGGTTTTTGAATATGCTAAAAGTGCAGTTGCTGCTGGTTTGCAATGTGTTGGTGCAAGGAAATGTTCGAAATGCCATGGTCTTTTTTGTATTAATTGCAAGGTCCCATGGCATAATAACATGACATGTTCTAGTTACAAAAGGATGAATCCCAACAACCCTGCAGAAGATGTCAAACTGAAATCTCTTGCAACAAGGAACCTATGGCGCCAATGTGTGAAGTGCAACCATATGATTGAACTTGCTGAAGGTTGTTACCACATGACTTGCAGGTACAATACTCACCCTCCTTTCAAATTGACTTGTCTGAGAATAGTTAAATGCATTTTCTTTAGCAAATAAAAGTTTGTTGAATTAAATTTCTGGATTTACAAACCACCTATGAAGCTGAAGAATGCATGGTTTCTATTGCTTGATGAATCCTCAAACCTATATAGGAGGCCGTTAAGGAAAAATTACAAGAAACATCCTCTATTTACACTCTGATGTTTTTCATCCTCTTTTTTTTATTATTATTATGCTGAGTACACTCAGGTAATGTTAACAGAGATTCTGTCACTGTAAAAGTCTGATGATAATTTTGTGCCTGCCTATTCTCGGCCTCTCTCTCACAGATTGCATCCTAGTGCTTTCTACTAGTGTTAAGCTGCTATCTATAAGTGTAGATTCAAAAGAGACTCTTTTGATTAAAATGAAGTGCGGCATTCTATCTAGGTTACTGAAGAAAATTATTGAAATGAATGAAATACCAACCAGTACAGATATCTGGAGTTAATGATCACAGAGTCAACAGGAACATTGATCAGAAGTAACAATTGCATTAATTTCTGTTTTGCTGGCTCTGACAGAGCAAGATAAGTCCAGTCTGGTGGATTTACATTACATCAGGCAATGTTCAAAATGGAAGTTGAATTGTGTTTAACAACTTCCAAAGTAAACTGAAATCTAATCATCAAAAGTTAAATCATGAACTGAACAGATCTTTCAAAAAATCCTACAAACAAAACCAATCACACTAAACCCTCACAAAAAAGATGAAATTCTAGGGCCTGCTGTGCCCATTAGATCCCTTTTAAAAGAAAATTCTGCAACCCCCAGCCCCCCCTGTTCCCATACTAGCCGTGGCATCAAGTTGGAAATTTCCCTCATGATAGATCTGCACTGTGGTGACTTGCCATTCTCGATTAAGAATCTTCTTAAAGGCTTCAACTAAAGATAGGTGTTAAGTGTTAGGAGAGAAGAAATATGGGGTACGAAGTGTTTTTTTTATGTGGTTAACTAAGGATAGTGCAACTTATAAAACAATGGGTGCAAACTGCAACCAGTGTAAATAGAGGATTTTTTTTCCCCTTGTTGTACGACAAACATCTTTCATGGTGCTCACTGCTTAGTAGTAGTTCTAATTCAATGAAGGTACATCATGAGAAAGTCTCTCAATCTGAACGTCAGTTAGAGCCAATCCACGGGAGGAAAGACTCGAGCAGAGTCTTTTGGAGCTATATTACTGCCAATGTTTTCACCTGAAGAATATATTACTGATAATTATGAAGTGAATAGATGAATTCCTTTTGTAATTGCTTCCATTGAAGATGATGAGTATGACATGTTTCTTAACATTAACTAGATTCTCACTCTTTTCTGATGCGTGTGATGTTTTTCCAGATGTGGCTATGAGTTTTGCTATAATTGTGGAGCTGAGTGGAAGGACAAGAAAGCAACATGTTCTTGTCCACTCTGGGATGAGGATAATATCTTGTATGCTGAAAATGATACAGACTTTGATGAGGATGAGGATGAGGACGAGGATGATTACTATGACTCCGAATCTGACGGTTATTCTATTTAGATGTAAACACTGCATATCCTCCCACTTTTTCTTTTTCTTTTTTCATTTTTGTTTTAGAGCAAGTCTATCAATGTGTGCAGATGCTGTTAAAAAGATCCCTCAGTCTTGAGATCTGACTGGACCATTGCAGTTCTTTTCCAAGTTTTCTTAATACCATCAATACCTCTAAATTCTCCCATAGTCAGGGCTAGCAATAAATTTAATCAATCTAGCTAATTAATTAATCTTGAAAGTTCCCAGTAAGGATTATAAAAATAAATAAACAGCCAGCATAAGGTATAGCGAACACGCTCTATTCAATTCCAAAAAAAATGAAGGAAACTAAACTAGATTCGGAAGACTACGACAACATACAGGCTTACTTTCATGTTTCACAACCATGTTATATGGGGTTGGAAATTGTTTTTTTTTTTAAAAAAAGAAAAATGGAGTTTGATTTTAAACGGGAAATTATTTTCCCTCTTCCCTTTTCCTTTCCCTTACTCTTTTTTTTTTTTAATATATGAAGATACACATTTACCTATCTTCAATGTTTATTAACATTCTACATTATTTTCTGTCTTTCCACAGGCACACATCTCTCTCGCATAAGCAACCACAACCATTTTGAACTCGTATTATCAAAAGTCTTTTCAAACACTTCTTGACTGACTTTCGAAGTTCCTTAACCTTATGACTAAGATCCGACCAAAAGATTAAAGAACCATTTAGAACTTTCGAAGTTCCTTAACCTTATGACTAAGATCTGACCAAAAGATTAAAGAACCATTTAGAAACGTGATTCAATCTATATTTTTAAAAAAATTAATTTTTTTTGTTAAAATTTAATATAATTTGTATATTTTAAATCGTTTAATATACTAATATTAAAAATAACTTTTAAAAAATAAAAAAAATATTATTGACATATATTTCGGCACAAAAAGTTATTTGAAAAGTAACCGCTACCACACTGCTCAACATACTCTAAATTTTTTTGGGATACGATACAAGTAAATTATTATAAAATAGTTGCGCTATTCTATATATATTTTTAAAAAAATCTCATATACCCTTGCGAGTTTATATTTTCTTCCAAATAGATATCTAGAAGATATATAATTAAAAAATCTCATATACCCTTGTGAGTTTATATTTCCAAATAGATATCTAGAAGATATATAATTAGGGTTTATATGAGGTAAAATTAAAAATAAAAGTTACTATCTAGTTTTATAATAACTAGTAACTTTAGTTAGTATTTAGACTTATAAATACGAGATTGATTATTTAACAAAAAAGATAATAATCATTATATACATCTTACATAAAATGAACTACATTGTTTTTTGTTTTTAATGATAAGGTACATGTTATGCTCTAGCTAAAGTTTGTCTAAACTAGTATATGTGTTATTAAAAGAAAAAATTATTAAAACTTATAAAGTTTGTCTAAACTAGTATATGCGTTATTAAAAGAAAAAATTATTAAAACTTATAATAATGATTTGAAATCGAAACCTGACAATAAAACTTAATTCTTATTTTTAGAATATAGATTAAATTTTAAGCTTGTTATGTCTAAATAAACTTAAAGCTTTCACTCATACTTAATGAGTCTTCGTAGGGTTATATTAACCCAACTCAGGTTTACTTGTAATAATGAGGTAATATCCTAATACATGCAAAATTATAAACAAATATTGGTATACATTAATACTGTACATCGAGTAAGGGATTGATTATACTTTAGAAAAGATAAAATTCATTCTTAATGAAAGATTATCTTAATTATATGTTTCGTTTTAAATTTATTTTTATACAAGTCATTACTATCCAAATTATTTTCTAAGATTATTTGACTTATTATTGATTGATGTTCACTGAGTATGTATCAATCCCTTAAGCAGAGGTCTCGCTACTTAATAATTTATTCTTTATGTTTTTTATTATTAATTAGAAGTATTACGCTAGGTTTAAATTAGTTTTTAAAACTAGAAGATTTGCTAACCTAGCTATTAAAAACAAAATTTAATCAAAATATTATGCTAGGCCTAAGTCGGTCCTTAAGACTAGGAGAAATGTCTACCTAGATTCTAAAACTCTAACTTTGATCAAAATATAATGTTAAACTTTATGAAAACTTGTAGAAATATTTTTATTCTTAGTTTGAAAAATAAATATTTACACTGACATGAATACGTAAAAAGGAATCAATGAAAATGTACAAAATGGAAGTAACACTATTGTGAAGCCAATAAAAATAATATAAAAACTAGATGAGTGAAAAATATATGATTTTTAAAAATAATACACACACATGGCATATTTAAAAGGTGACAATACTATTTTATAAAATGAATATAATGCTACTTTTAAGTCTTAAAAATAAAATAAAAAATATGTAGTTGTTGATTTTTGAAAATAAGTATTTACACACACGTGTACTTAAAAAAAGTGATAGCTAGTAGCATTTTGTAAAGTAAATCTAACGCTATTGTGAAGCCATTAAAGAAAATAAAATAAAAAATACATAAATGAAAAGTTATTAATTTCTAAAAATGATTTTTTACAAACACATGCGTTCTTACGAAAGTGAAAGTATAATTTTGTAAAATGAGTTTAATGAAGATATGAAAAATAAAATAAAATAAAATAAAAGGAATGTATGAATGAAAATGAAGTTAACAATTTTTTTAAATGAATTTTTTTGCACACGTGTGTACATTAAATGGTGAAAATACAAAATTATAAATGAATCTAATGCTATTGCAAATCGATTAAAAAAAAAAAAGAATGAATAGTAACTATCATGCAAAAACCTCATGAATGAATAGTAACTATCATGCAAAAACCTAAGGTAAAAAGAAGAAAAGAGGGAAGAGAGTTAGAGTTTTACATTTCAGCTGGTTCTAGATGAAGGCGGAGCTACTGTGGTGGTTATTAGTGGTAGATATGGTGGTTAGACCGCAATTTGGTTCGATTTTGGTTAGTTCTCTCTCTTTTTAGGTCTTCTTCTTCTTCTTCTTCTTTCTTTTCTCTTTTCTCCTCTCTGCTACTTTCTAGCAAAAATAACTCTCATTGCTAGCTCAAAACTCTCTTATTTCTTCCCTCTCCCTCTCTATTTTTTGTATTTTCGCTCTCTAGGTCGAGTCCTCTTGCTTCTTGCTTTGTGTCTTTTTTTTTTAATTGTGTCGTCAAAATTAATGTTGAATCCTATTCTCATTTCTAGCATTATTTTATCTCCTAAATTAATGCAGCGGTTGTCTTAATCTGCAGATAATAAATATTATTTAAATTTATAAATTAAAATAGAAAAATTATATATATATATATATAAATTAAATGTAAATTACAGATTGAGATGAGAAATTAACCATGTAACCTCCTGACACACTGGCCAGGGTTTCTATTTAATGATCCTGATAGACCCCATCAGGGCAAGTTGTCTACGTGTCAACATCATGCGGTTTTTGAAGTTGTGATTTAATTCTGTGATTGGATGCTCATGCATGTAAGATTTTTGTTGTAGATCCGTCAAAACAATTTTGATTACTTGCCCTAGTTTGTGGACCATTTTTATTAGACAAAAAGGGTAGAAATGACAGTCTAAATTTAGTCTTTATTTAAAAGTGTAGTTGTTTTTATAAAAATTTATATTAAAATATTTTTTATTTTTAAAAAATTATTTTTAAAATCAACATATTAAAATAATTTAAAATATAAAAAAATTAATTTTTATAAAATAAATAAATTTTTAAATTTTTAAAAAACACATCACGTTTCTAAATTACAGAGGAGGAGGATAGAAATCAGCTTTTAGATTTTTTTTAGTTTGTTTATAGTTGTTTTCTTAAATATTTTTTATTTATAAATGTATTAAAATAATATTTTTTTATTTTTTAAAGTGAATGTATTAAAATAATCTAAAAATAAAAAAATATAAATTTAAAATAAAAAATAAAAACTTTTCAAATCTTAAACAAAATAGTTTTAAAAAACAAAAAAAAATAAAATCTTAATATTCCTGACCGTCTCCCTCTTGAATGGCTTTTCAGCGTGGGAATTTTTCTAGATTGTGTTGTTCTGAAGAATGCTTTCTCATAATTATTTTCTTTATAAAAACAAAACTACTTCTTAACAGTGAAATCCGAAAAGAAACTTGATAAATGGTACAAAATTATTCCGACAAGGTGGGAAAGTTGTGGTCCCTTCATAAAACAACGATATAAAAGTGACGTAAAAATCATTTTTTAAATTTAAAAATTATATTACGTTAATTTATTTTAAAAAATATTTTTTTATATAAATCCATCAAAATAAAAATTAAAAAACACTTAAAAAATTAAATTTCAATAAAAAGCACGTTAAACCTCAGTTCCATATTATTGACTTCTTTTATTAGAGATATATTTGGTATTATAAGTGTTTTTTAAAAATAATTAATTTTTTTATTTATTTTATTTTAAATAAATATTTTTTTTATATTTTTATATTATGTATAAATATAAAAAACAATTTTAAAAATAAAATAATATTATTTTAATATATTTTAAAAAACAATCACCGTCTTATTCTTAAATATATGTAAGTTGTTAGCTGGCCACAAAACGAAGGGCTATTTGGTAACAAACAATTCTTATGCCTTTTTATGTATGATGGATATTTCACACTTGCAAACAGAGAATAGGCACCAGAGAGAGAGAGCCTTGTTATTTTTTGACAGAGATCGAAGATGCCTGCCTTGATCATTTCCACAAACGTCAGCCTTGATGGAGTTGACACCTCCTCCATCCTCTCCGAAGCCACCTCTGAGGTTGCCAAGCTTATCGGCAAGCCAGCCAATGTAAGTTTTGTTTTCATTTTCGTTCTTGGGGTCTTCTTCAGTTCTTTAATTTTAAGTTTGTGTTTTTACTCTTAATAATCCATTTTGAGGGTTTTTGTATATGATCTGACCTAAAAGCTTATGATTTCCTTGTAAATATTACATGCATATCCTTTTGGATTTTTCAATTATAATAATACTAAACTTTTGCGGGTTATCGATTTTTCTTTCTTTCTTTCTTTCTTTCTTTCCTTTGTGTCTGACAGATGCTGTATGGTAGGTGTGCTAGTTGTTTATTATTTGGTCACATGAAACAAATATGTCTTTTTTCTTGAAAGCTATGGTGCTTGTTTATTCTGGTTATTTTTATTTATTTA